TTTTACTATTTTTTTTTTTTTTTTTTTTTTTTTTTTTTTTTTTCAAAACGGTACTTAGGTTCCGAATACGCCTCGTATTTGGACTAAGAAACTTGAGAAATTACAGATATTCTTGCCAAGGTTTGATCTCCGGATCTCCCAATTCTAGTGCTATTGCTTACACTTAATGGATCCTACTTAAGTAATGAATTATATTAAGCTTAGAATGTGCGTCTAAGAGTCCACAGCTTTTGGAAGCAAGAATGGCCACTGTGACCTTGCAAGTGTTTGCATGACTCGCTTTTTGAGGAGGAACAAGGTTATCGTTTCTTTGACAGTAAATCTAATTTTGCAGTTTGCATATACATATCCCATGTGGTTAAGTTATTCTATTAGAGCCTAACAAATCATTATATATCAGGCTGCTTCTATTTAGTATTTTCTGTTGTTAAGACAGCTTCGTAGTTAGTTTCAAAACAACGTTCACAAGAATGCAATTTATCCTCATTTTTAAAAATAACTTCTCAAAGTTGTGGAATGTTTATAAGGTCTTATTTCAATTTCCTAATTAATTATTTTAAGTACGGAAGTATATAAAGTTTTGGAGCTCAAAATCAGAGAGTTTTCTGCCTGCTTGAAGGCCACGTTACTAAGTTTGATTCTCTCGATTAGAATTCTACGCAGTTGAGTTATTCGTGCCATTCGCCTTATTTACGCCAACTTCGGTCGGAGCCAGTTTGCGCGCAAGGCATACTGTGAAGCTGTTAGGCCATACTTAAATTTCGTGAATTTTAGTTTGCCTATTATCTTTGATTTAAAGGCACGGATTGGTGCCAGCTGTTAAAATTTATTTATATCAATAAAACGGCTTTTTCATCCTTTCCTTATTTCTGTGGTACTTACAAAGACACTGTGAGAAGTCACCATATGTCTTTTTTAGACTTCTGGTCTAAATACAAGTGGACTCGTACCTGCTACCTAAGTAGACCAGAACTTATATTCTTATGAAGCTATTTTATGATAAAGAATGGAAAATAAAATTCAATGCATTTATCACATTTTACTTTTTTATTTTTGGAAAGTTAAAAGAGCTGCGAATGCACACAAAAGAAATTGTACTATGTATGATTAGGAAACATTAATAGGACACATATGCACGAAACAGCTCGCAGAATTCTGCTGTGGTGATTTTTAAGTTCAAGATGCATGGCATTGTGATAGACCCAGCTGGGATTGGTGATAATAAATTACATGCCCTGATTGAAGCTGATTTTCATATAAACTGTACGTGAACTTAATGGAAAACTAAATTATTCCAAAATCATTAATAACCGTTTAAAGTCATTATTAATCCTTTAATAGCCGTTTAAAAAACTTGGCTATTTACAAAAGCTTCATTTTTTAATTCCACGGGAGCTTAAAAGAATTCACTGAGGACAAAGCTTCAGTGTATGTTTGCTTTTAAAATATAACCAAAATTAGCCATTTTTAAAGCGAATGACAACTGATCATAAATCATGGTACCTTTCAATAACATTGGATTCAAAAGATCCTAGTCGAAGTCTGGTGACTCCTTTGAAGCAGCATCAAAAGAACATCATATGAATAGTTTTATGGTACTAAAAGAGAGTTAAATAATTCGAACTATTATCAAATGATAAAACGGAGAATTTCAATTCCATTGCCAAAACTGAAACATGCTTTTCGACAGAAATAAATTTTCAGAACTGGTGAATTGTAATTATGTCGTGTTTCAGCATGACACAGCTAAACCAGATGCATCATCAGTCGCTAGGGAGAAATTATAGACACTTGAATGGGATTTCTTACCAAAATACAACCTTGGCGCTGTATGACACATGTTTTACTCCCTGCAAAACTCCGTATCAAGTAAAATTTCTGTATCAGATATTTGTATCAAGTCCATTTGGAAAACATTTAGCAAGGAAAAAAATCAGAACTCCTTTGAAAGTAATATCATGAAATTGCCTGGAAACTTGCAAACGTTTATTAAAGAAAATGACAGAAACATTCTTTTTACTTTAATGAGAAAGCCACTCAATGTGTCTCCGCGTAAACCAAATTAAAGCTGACGTAATGACCAGTTAATGCAAACTGCTTATGAGAAATTGTTTGTCTTAAATCTTTAACATCTATGTAAAATCTTATATTTTTTCTCATTTAATTAAGAAACTAAATTAAAAATAATTCCCAGAACTATGTGTCTTTGACAGAAATTGATGATAATGGACTGTTCCCTTGTGAAATATCTGACTGTGGTAATTTTCGGCTTTCTTGTATCATTTATTTAGATATTATTAGGTAGTTCATGTATTTAAATTAGTAAAAGGTTTTATACTAACCTAAATTTAAGGTACAAATAACGACAGAAGTATTAACCTAGATCACAACAGAAAAACAATGATATTTATGCATGCTTTCATTTTCTTCAACAGCAAATTTTCTTTGCATTCAAGTGCGCTTCTGTCAACAGATGTTGATACTCTGACATCTGGAAAAAATAAGAGATTTTGATGAACACAATTCATATAAAAGTAACAAGTAAACAAATTTTAATTATTAATAAAATAAGAGAAAACCTAAGAAATACTAATTCAAATGATGTTTGCCACTTATAGAAATTTTACTGATTGAAGCGAAATGATGAACATCAGATGCAACTTTAAATTTCTGGCTTCTTAGTCAAGGTAATGATTGAGCCAAATGGGGCACATATGTTATAATAGCTGAGAATCTCAATAATGCTACGTTAGGGTTCGTTTCATAAATAAGCGCTGGGAGTATGAGTTTTTCCTATTTATGGCCGGAGGCAAATTATGGAGAGGGTACTCCATCGGTGAGGAGGAAACGCTCTTGTGGTTTCGTGGATAAGCAGCAAAGTTACGCTAGTAATGTGAACTTAATTCTCGTCGCATGCATTAAACAGCAATACTTTGGTAGTGAGCAGTTTTTAAAGGTGTTCTAAAAGCTTAAAGTTTGGATTGAGGTTATATGATTAAATCAAAAGAAGATATGATATCTTCTTATGAGGAGGGATATTTTTACAAAGGAATTTCTAAAAACTGACATGATAGCATAATGACCAAAAGTGAATTCATCGTTTAGCAATTTTAAAAAACGAAGTTCTCCTTTTACAAAATATTATCAACATTATTTTCCAAAAATTCATTTTTTAAAGTAATTTCCCATTTGCTACAACACTGCTTTATAAGATTCTGTAAATTTGTCTTATAACGCTCTTCTTAACGACATACTGATAAAAAAATCAGAATTAAATTTGGTTTTTGGGTTTAATTGTTGTGACATGCGAGAATTTCTACCTAGCTTAACCTCTTGAGACCCGAGAAGTAATTCCTCGATATTTTTTATCTAATTTTTTTGTGTGTGTACTTAAAATGAAACTATTAAAAAGAAAAAAAACACAAAAAGTACATTTTGAAAATTTTATTTATATTAATTAAGTGGTACCCAAGTGGGTATCTTGAAACTACATGCATATAATGTCATTATAATGAAATAAAGAGTTACATCAATGTATATAGTTTTTTTAAACAGTTATTTGTTATGAAATTCAAAGAAGCAATTCCTGTTTTGTAAGCATAGATACAAATCACATTTAATACATCTTACTCTTGATTTACCTTGGCAACCTGGGAAGCGACATTTAATTTGATTTGTTCCTTTTACATGTTCAGGAAAGTGGGTAATTCGGTCATACCGTACAACCTTCACGGGCAAAGGAGCAATTTGTTGACTTTTGATACGTTGAGGTCTTTCCTGTATCGTTTCTTCAGAAAACTTCTACTTTTATTAAGCTCTCAGCTATTACAATCTTGAAGTCTATCAAATGAAGTCTATTTTTTGGAGTAACTTCACATTGCTTGTAAAGACGAATATACATAATCCAGGCTTTGCAAGTTGCCATATTCAAAAAATGGGCGAAGACACGCATTGTCCATTTTTTTGTTCGTATGGATATTCAGTAATATGAGATTAGTCTGTCCATCATATCAGCACCTCCCACGTAAGTGCTATACGTCCTTAAAATAGCAGATTCTCTGACATCTACTCGCTGTTTTTGTTCTTTTGCCCACCTCTTACAGCTGCTTTCAGTTTTGATAACAAATGCACTTGACAAAAGAAAACATTCATTTTCTTCAGATGTTAGAATGCCTTCATTTTCCAGATGTTCAGAATCAGTACCACTTTCTGGAATATTTTCGAAGTCTGGATCATCAATATCAGAAAGTTCCCCACCATCACTTTGTTCCAGCAACACTTTGATTTCTTCATCTGTCAAATATTTTACTGAAAAAAATGAAAACAACATTTAGCATCATCGTTATACTCTGATTCCAAGGTACCCAAACGGGTACTTTCTTTTCTAAGTGAAAAAAATCGAAAGCAGCAACAAAGTAATTTTACAAAAATGCATGTAGAATAAAGCTTATAGAATTCTTAGTTGAAAAAATGAGTAAACACTTAATAATTATAATCATTAATATTAAAAAAATAAATCAACTTACCTCTAGTCGGTCGAGACGCCATTTTCTCTCATTTCTCGATTTCAAAGCTGTATAAAATAGTTTTACATTAGTATGGTGCTGCGCTCTTTTAGCAGGCAATAAAGATCAGGTTTTTCCCAATTGGGTGCTCTGGGATTTAAGTCAAACAAACGTTTATTATTGGAGTAAATCTAATGTACTGAAGTCTCCAATTGGGTTACCAAGGGTCCCAAGAGGTTAAATCTGAAAAATGATTTTAAACACCCCTTATGAAGAATTAGTCTTCTAATTAAAATTCCTACTCGCAATTATGAATTAGTATATGATAAAAGCATGATTTCATAAGTTGTAACTTTTTGGATAAATCCAAAGTTCAATAGAATGATTAAATAGAATGACATTAAAATTCTTTAGGTTTTCACTGTTAATTATTCCTTCCCCTCGAAAGATGGCATAAAACTTCAAGTGAATAAAGACAGTATTTTCTCCTCCCAGATTCGCCTGTGTGTGTTCCAGGACAGAAAATTCTCTACGGGGCGACCCGTCACGAAGAGGTCAAGGTCCTCTGCGAGGTGGACGCTGATCCAACGGATGTCACATTCCGCTGGAGCTTCAACAAATCTGGAGAGAATATGGAAGACGTGCCCTTCGTCAGTGATGGCACACGAAGTACTGCAACAGTCACAGCCAAAACAGACTACGACTATGGAACCTTAACGTGCTGGGGCACAAATAGCGTTGGAACCCAGAGAGAGCCCTGTGTGTATACAGTCATCACTGCAGGTGGGTAGGCATGCAACTCACAAGATTTATTAATGTCTGTGTAAAACACGGAAAAGATACGATTTAAAAATGATAAATAATACAATACCAAAATGCATGTATTGTTTCTAAAGGAGAAAACATAAAATCATACTTGTACAGTCTTTTCGTTTGAGTTAGCAAGCGAAAGAAAGCAAAACATGAGATTCTTATTTGTACATTAACCTAATGGACTCAGCCCAATGTTTACCACTTTCACTTATCATCCTAAATTTAACAAGAGGATCTCAGTGGCATGAAATGTTAAGCAGACTGTGTGTTCTCGATCTGTATCTTACGTTTAGGGGTACAGCTCATTTCCTGAAGCTGAAGAATATGCCATCCTAACTATGTCCAAGATCATCGGGATGGGATATTGCCAAGTGTCTCCTACCTGTCTTTCCCTGTCATCAGCCACACGAGATGACTTCCTCTGGCAGACCTCTCTTTGGGTACATCTGCTATATCAAAGGCGTTTGCTAATATACGTGTCCCATCTTTGGTTAGAAACCAGATCCATTGCAGTAGTTCAGTGTTAGTTAACCACCATAGCAACCGATGGATATTGATACATAGTTCTAAAACGTTAAATCTTTTGTACGTCAATAAACTTTAATTTCAAATCCATCCAGTTCTTCCAACTTTATATATGTTACGGTGAAAGACCGAAATCTGGAGAATGTCGACTTTCACCGGTGAATGTCAACATTCACATAGTCGCTTGGTGTATGTCGAAAATATTTTCCAAATACTCTTATTTCTGACTTAAACCGGTGAATGCCGACATTCACCATGTACTAATGGTGAATGTTGAACATATAAGAATATTATATTTCCTTCTCCGTAATTCAGTCGCGAAAAAACGCACTTGAGACTCAGAATAAGAACTTAAGAACATAAGAACTTAAAACACACAGTACATTCAAAATGAGAAAGGAAAATAATAGAAGTTATAAACTTACCAAATTATGTGATTCAAATCTTATTTATTGCAACGACTTAAACTATTATGAGAATAGAATTGCACAAGTGGCCCTTGCTTTTACAACTGCATTTATTTGTGGAACACTTCCTTTTGGAATGGCAGCGTGTACATACACTCCTCTCTTTTCGACCTACACCAGAGCATATCTGTGATTGTCGACATACACCGGTGAGGGTCCGAATGTACAAGAATGTAAAGAAATATTCGATCTTTCACCGACGTATTTGGTGAATGTTGACATTCTCCGGTGAAAGTCGATATTCTCCAATTTCGGTCTTTCACGGTAACATATACATGTAATTACCATACGCTCAAAGAATTTTACATGCTGTCAGAGAGTATAGTAAGATAAGGAATGAAAGAGCAATTGAAATTCAATATTAACAAATAAAAGTATTGAAAATCTTTCTTAAAGCTATAACAGAGATAAATAAAGCAAAGTCCTCGTTCAAAAGAAAGTAGGTATTCGGTAGCTAATATATGTAAAAAATCTAAATTTCATGAAAGAACCAGACTCATAAAAAGCCATGTTAGTTATGCTTGTCTTCCGAAAAGCTAAATTACCATAATGAGTGATAATCATCTTCAATGAATATAAAAAGTTAAACGGGAAGTCAAGCTTGAAATGCAAATGAAACCATGCATGTTATGCATAAAGATAATTAAAAAGAAGGAAATTTGAAACATAAAAAGGAGCTAGAAGAATGCAAATAACTGTAAGTTTCAAACCTACTTTCGAAAAAATTCAAAAATTCAAAAGAATTTCGCATTTTCTTGAGATTTACTACAAGATATAAAACACATGAAAAGAAATAAAAGTATATTTCTTGCGCAGAATAATTTAACTTTCTGGCGAGAAATGTTTTATTAAAGATAACTGAAAGTTCAGGATTTAATAACGATAGCAAAAGATAATTACAAATTTAACAGAAATAAAATCATTATAAAAAGCTTTAATATTTTACTCACGAAAAATGAATTAATGTTTCAAGAAGAAAGCGTTAACAAAATCAGAACAATTTAAGATTTTTTCAGTTTTTTTAAATAATAATGACAGTAACATTGAAAACGCAGCAACAATGAATAAAAACTATCGTGGAGACATTTATTAAAAATATCAAAACGTTGAAAAAGATAAACAAAAAAAATCAAAATACTTTTTATCACAAAGAAAAAGATAAACAAAAAAAAAAAAAAAAAAATCAAAATACTTATCGCAAAGAAAAAGGATAAAATTAAATTACAGATGATAATTCTAAATCCGCTTTGCTTAGTTTAATTTCGAATTTATTTATAATATTTGTTTACGTTTTACGTTGAAACGAAAATTTCTAGATCAAATTCGAATCACTCATAATCCAAAATGAGATGCATGGCCTGGAGAGTTTTACATCAATTTTAATTAAACTTAATATTTACATATATACAATTTAGGCTAAAATGCCTGAAACGAATATTAAGGCTCAAAAATCAAGAACTGAATAGTTCCATCTAAGAATCTGAATCGAATTCTATTGCGTAGTGGATCGAAATCTACCTTCAAGAAGAAGAATATTTTTCCAAGTCACGTGTTCAGAAGGGGAAGGGTTAAATAAGCCAATAGATGGACTCCTATCGCCAACTCTTGTCTATATCAAAGAATATTCCTTAACAACACATGGACCTTATAAGAAATAGACTAACCCAAACGGGTTTTCTCCCTCGTCTGACGCGTTGCCGGCTGTCACCTTGATCACATCCGGAGGAGTAGGGACGACTTGCAGAAATTTAACATTGGTTGCCTATTGCAGCGCGTATAATTATCAAGAAAAAGCTGTATGTAGCGCCTCATTTCACAAATTATAATTTCTATATATTTTTATTTTTGAAATTGAGATTAATTTTTAAAACTTTAGCATATTTATCAAGAATAATTAACGTTTCAAATAATTATAAAGCTATTGCACGCTTTCAGGGCTGGATATTTTTTAGCTTTTCCTATGCTGTAAGGAAATTTGTAACTACTTCTTTTTAGAAAATAATATTTTAAATCTGAACTAATAGAAAATTTCAAACAAGCATTTTTTCTCTTGCAATTTTATGTTTTTTTATTGGTGTAAATAAGTAAAAAGTACTAAAATATTTAAAAACGAATTTTTGAAAGTTTTGTTTAAAATTCAAAATTGTGCTGCTTTTTTAAAATTATAGATGAGTATTATAGTTCAATTTCCATAAAGGAATTTTATTTCAATTATCTTTCATAATACATCATAGTGGATAAACACTTTTGACGCCTTAAAAATTTTATACATTTAATTCTAATATTAAAATTGTATTTAACCGTAATAATTAATTTTGCTTGTATTTTATAGTGACTTATTCTTTTTAATTTATTTTTAGTTCTGCATAAGATTTTTTTTTTTTATTTACTGTTAATTTAATTTATTAACCCAAAGCGGGCGGTCGCCTAGAAAGGCTGTTTAGTTTCGAAGCTGCATTTTGCGCTGTTTTTTTACTATAAGTGTCCGTGTCTCCTTGCAAATTGTTGTTACCAAATATTATCGCCTTGTATTATATGTAAAGAAATTAAATAATGAAGAAATCTGCATGAATACATGTATGTTTCTTGCACTGTGACAAAAGCGACAGCCATCAAATTTTGAATAATGTAATTCTCCAACCGAACATGGGCATCTGGACGGCCGAATTTCGAATTTATTTTAATCTATTTCATATTCTGTAAAACTTTAACGAATTTTTGATTATCAAACTCAGAGAGTTCAGAGCGAGCACTATACAGAAAATAACAGTTTTATCTCCAGTGCAGGAATTCGAAAGATGTGGTGTTTTCAAATGTATTTGGTTTACGGGCGAAGAACATGATATTCAATAAATATAGGTAACACACAAAACTTTGAAAAAAGGTTCCTTTTGGGCGTAATATAAAATTTGAGTGCTTCTAGATTTTATTTTATCTTTTTTTTCCCCTTCACTACGCTTAGAAAATTTTATGCTCTGAATTTTATGAATTATTAAAATAACTAATCGACTTTAATGTTAGTAATTTAATGATCCTATAATCAAATAAATATGATCGTTTTGTAATGTTATTATTGTTTGGAAAATCACTGCCTGAAAATTTTCATTATTTTTTTTTAATTATCAGATCTTGTTTAATTTTACTTATTTATTTCAAAGCATCACGTGCTATCAATCTTATTTAATTTTACTTTATTTTTAAGCAAAATTAAGTTCATAAATTTTGTGCTTAGAGTTTTTACCGTTTTACCAAAGTAAAGATGTTTGTACAAGAATTACGCGTGGAAAAAAAATGCGCGAAATGCAGTAAAAAGTGCTTTAATGATATATATTAAATCCCATTTGGAAAAAACTGTGGCTTTCATAATCTCATCACTATACAACGTATCACATTTAATAATTAAAAAGAGTTATGTGATACAAACGCCATAGGTTTCAATGTTAAAGTAAACCAGATCGTCCCTACTCTTTCTTGCCGACATGTCGGTGACGCACGCCCCCGCCCACTGGGTTAGTCTATTTCTTATAAGGTCCATGTAGCAACATAGCATTCGTGATCATGCAATAATAAAGAAATTTAAACGAATTTTTTGGTCAAATAAGTGTGATTATTATAGTCCATAGAATGAAGAATAAATACAAATAAATTAAGAGCGATAAATAGAGCTTCTAGATTTGTGGGAAACTACTTAAATAAGCTGCGAAATAATTAACATTAGCTTTTAAGGATATTTAAACAATAAATTATGTTCTCTGTCATGCTTCTTAAAAGCTATATTTAGGGAAATAACTTCATCGTGGCGAGAATTATGCCACTGCTTTGGTAATTTTTTCTATGAACATCGAATAAATCCGATTATTTTTTATTTTTTATTTTTATTTTATATCTATTTTGGATTATTTTTTCTTTGAAACAATTTTTATGCTATTTTCCATTAGAATTTCCGCACAATTACACTTCAGAATACGTCTGCTTCCA